GTCAGATGTTAAAGGAACTAAATCGCTAATATTTGGGACCTAGAAATTGGCACAAATGGGTCGCAACGCATACAATAATAATATGTATGTATATAAACGGATTTACCTTAAACTCGGTGTATCAATCAAAAGTCAATCGGATATTAACTTTAGCCTCTAGAGCGCCCACAAGATTTGTCAAAGTGACCAAGGGCCATAACTCTGGTAGTAATTATCGGAAATCGTTGAAAATCATTATGCTTCGTCGTCTCGTGACCTTAAAACACTGTGTATAAATTTAGCCTAAGCAGGAAATGCTCATCTTTGCACCCCATCAAGGCGTTTGCCTAATAAACACCTACACCAAGTGTGAACATTCTAGCTCAATTAGAAAGAGAGTTATTATTGTGTCCCAAAAAGTGTGACCTAATTCATTAGTCCCCTGCTTTATTTGAAAGGCGGGGACAATTAGAAACATAATTAGTATTCTAATCAGAATATAACACAGTAATTTTAAATACATAGACCTACTATGAACGAAACTTGAAGTCAAGACCAATCACTCGAAGACGAACTAGTGCATATTCTACCGTGAAATGGAAGACATGCTTCCGTATTCATTAGTCCATTCGGTGCAGAAGAGCAAGACGTTAAACATCATTTCATTGCAAAGACATTCTTTCATATCAATTATAATATTGTTTATTTTTGTGTAACTCGCAGCAAGGGCTAAAGGGGAAATAATCAAAATCTAAGATTTGATTAATATCCGGATTTTGTTTTTTACCTGAATTCTCTTTTAGATCCTTTCGATCACGCCTAATACACCCTCGTCATTATGGTCTACTTGAAAACAATCTACAAATAGTGTCATTATATTATACACATTTGTTCTATAAACGCCATGATGTCTTTTGCATATTTTTTTTCAATACCTTTATGAATAGTATCCTAAGCATCTAAATATAAATGAGCTTAACTTTTAAATATACTACTGTCCAGGACTCGAAACAAGTAAATTCCTTGTATCAAGAGATCTGTGATTATCAGGAATAACTACAATTAGTGGGCTACTTCATTTAACAAAGATAAGTCAATGAATATAAATTTCGCATTGATCGGACGGACATTAAATGTTATACGAAGATAAGGGTCAATAGCTACTAGTAGTGATATACCCTTTTTTAATCTTTAACCCGTTTAAACGGCTGCTAAAAAGATCGAATGGTAAATTTGAACTTTATACCTTTTTATCTCATTGATGATTGGCGATCTATGTGTCAAGATTGACACTTTAATCGTAATATCGTAGTCCTGTTTCAGAATTAAATATCTTTAACCCTCAAATTAGAGCTAGCCATTATTATATTTAATTGAAATGTACGCTAATGCCAACAATAATGTGTGTCTGGCATATTAAAAGCAAGATCAGTATTCCGAGGAAAATCTGGGGCGGCGGTGATCCTGTGTTCGGGGCACCGGATTAGCAACTAGGGTGCTCCGGGTTCGAATCAATGAGGTTCCAACTTGTCAGGGGTAGCAACTATGGAAATTATATATATAATATATATTATTTCCATTTCGCCACCAAATCTGATAAAGCTTTTGAATTCAGATACAAATGAATGTACTAAAACAAGAAACAAACATTTCTATGACTCAATCAAACATCATTATTGCCCACTCCATTAAGTGATATGAAAGATTAGACTAAACAAATATGTTGTAATCTACACATCAACCTCAGATTACTATACAAATAAGACAGTTCGCCAGACAAAATAAAAGCTAGAATACAAAATACTTCGCTAAATTTAGGAGAGTCCCTCGGTACTGGCTTCACTTCATATACTTCAGACATAACAACCAACTATCCCCACGCAAAGAATGTACAATACATTTATGACGTTTGCTGATGATCTCATAGAATTTTTCGAAAACATAAATCAAATTAATTTGCCGCATTTTAAGGATCGACTATTGACAGAAACCAGGGTGCAATTTAGATTAATCAACCATCGATTTACAAGTTATATCAATATATTAATACTGTTTAGAAAAATGTTTAAATTCTTCCACAATGACAAGAATAAGTTGGAAATTTTCGAACAAATCAATCAAGCAGTTAATAATGTCAAAATGTACAATTTTGACAAAGTAGATTTAACAATATATTTCCAACATCTGAATATTTTCTAGAATCGATGAACATTAAATGCGTAATTAAGATAAATTCGCCGAAGACTATATACGACGCCCACAAGAAATAACTGATGGGCCACCAAGATAAGCATTTCTACTTAAAGGTCATCAACCGTTAGTAACGCGTTTCATAAATAAGATCTCTTGGCATAAAAAAATAATTAAACAATTGATAAATGTTCAGCTTAGCGAAAATATTAATATCAATATCAATCTTATTTATCATGTATCTATAAATTCCCAATTTTTATCTCTTCCATATTATCCGCCATGGGTTTGGGACACGATGTTGATAATCTTCAGAATAATGTTTTATTTTAAAGAGACATTATTGGGACTTTTCTTTGATTTAGTTCACCACATTGAAAAGAAAAACGTCATTAATTTTGACAGTTTTGATAGTCACCATCATTTCCTGATTATTGGATGCTAGTTGAATCCACGGTTTTCAAATTTTCTTACTCCAAGTAGGTTAGTGTTTAGTTTTTCTGTAATTGGGGGTGTTGTTGTTATTCAAAATTAATTACATTAATTTTCTCACTGAATGTAATAATGTCTCTTAAATTTAACTTAATTTAAGTATGTTTGGTCAAACTAATGTGGAACGTCCACAATGGCTTTTAAAAATAATATAAGTCCTTGTAGACAAGAATTTATTGGCAAAATTATAATTGGATTTTGTTGGGGTTTTTTTTGGTTTCCTATTAATCATTGTTACACTGGGTTCATTATGCCCAATTATACGAAAGAGTTGGCACCACTGTTCTATTATTCATAACTTTAATTATATATTGTTTTATAGTTTTTCACAGCTCCATATAAATATTTAACACTATTTAATTCTGTGGTGAGAATTTACAAATTAAAGATGTATAAAACTGCTTAAATTACCAATTAGAATAATAATTATCCATCTACTAAAATAACACGGTTATCTGATAATAACAGATATATCAGCTTTTCATTAAATTTACCTTTTTACCTTCGAGTTAATCATGTGTGCAAACTTATTAAATTACTAATTAGAAGGTTAAAACCGCTGATAAAACAAGTAGGTTTTTTTTGTAAACCCCATTAAATGCCTATTAATTTTAAAAGCACCAGGGAATAATATGTTTTCAAGTTCTACATTCCAATATCAACATAATGGGTTTCTGACATAGTTCTTTAATGTGGGGCTATTTTACAGCTGAAGTTCATAATTGCATGTTATATTATTAAACCTTCCTGTATGAATTTTCTAGAAACTCACACGGTTAAGATATACACACTAGGATAGGATGTAGACATTGCACAATTAATCGGTCAATGGGTCAATTTATTTATAGCAAATCTTCCGAATCCAAGTATTAATTCTTTCATATATATATTCGGTCTTGTAATCATTCTCAATTTTGGTTCAACCGCGATACCCCCTACACGTCATCATGTTCCACCTGTCAATGATACGAGTTTTTCGTCCCATTCGAAAGATTAAAGAACACTGTGCTTTTTAGTCTCATGGGCGTTATCTCTAACAAGAGTGACCAAGACTTTAAAAATTCCGACATTTTTCTCGACTCACTCACGGAGGATTAAAGATATCATCCCACGTACAAAATGTGTGATTTGATGATAAAGTTGGACTAAAATCATATTCAAACTAATTAATAATCAAAAATGCTGCTTCAGATCCTTTTACAAAATTGTATTCGTTAGGGAATACCCCTGCTATAAAAAATTTGTATTAAAAGTGGTCACGTTTTGTGTCGCGTGACTTGGCCGACGCGGTACTTAGCAACGGGGGCGAAGTCGGGGGGGGGGGGGGGAATTCATAGCATATACAAGACAACGTTGTCTTTAATCGCTGTCCATTTATCATAAATATTGAAGCCCAATTAAATTCTCGGATTATCCACGGCCCACGTCTTTTTTCGTGTTTTTTTTATCTCAGAAAGTGTTATACGCTGAAGCTTACCATCAAGTTTATCAATTTATATACATCAAGCGTTCACAGACGATAGGAGATCAGACAATCTTCGTGTGAAACCTTTGACGTCCCTCGAGCAGATGGGGGCGAAGTCGGGGGAGAATTCATTGCATATACAAGACAACGTTGTCTTTAATCGCTGTCCATTTATCATAAATATCGAAGCCCAATTAAATTTTCGGATTATCCACGGCCCACGTCTTTTTTTATCTCAGAAAGTGTTAAACGCTGAAGCTTACCATCAAGTTTATCAATTTATATACATCAAGCGTTCACAGACGATAGGAGATCAGACAATCTTCGTGTGAAACCTTTGACGTCCCTCGAGCAGATGGGGGCGAAGTCGGGGGAGAATTCGTTGCATATACAAGACAACGTTGTCTTTAATCGCTGTCCATTTATCATAAATATCGAAGCCCAATTAAATTTTCGGGTTATCCACTGCCGACGTCTTTTTCGGTGTTTTATTATCTAAGAAAGTGTTATACGCTGAAGCTTACCATCAAGTTGATCAACATAATATACACCAAGCGTTCACAGACGATAGGATATCAGACAATCATTGCTTGCAACCTTTGACGTCACTCGAGCAGACATCCCTAATCGTCAGATTGCCAGTTAGGGAAACCCTTACATTTTTGTCCGTGGGTGTTTTTCAGGGAATCCGGTATTTTTGTAGTAATATTGGATGTTTCTACTTTCCATATATACCAAAATTGCCATACTTTTATTGGAAATAACCACAAGATAAATACTTTTGTGGGAAGGTATCTTTAAAGGTAAGTGACGACAATCTTTAATGTGGCAACTCCCAATTTCTAATCTTACTAATTACAAGTACCAAGCACAATTTAAAGTTTTCTTCATTTTTTAATTCATTAGATTGTATTTCTTTGGTACGACAAATGAAGAAATGTAAACATTCACAATTATTGTCATCAAAAACCCTAAAATGATTCTGTAAACTTTGATCAGATTCTAGTACTAGAGGCAGTACATTTGATCAAAATTGTGTTAAAATGTAGGATTTCGCAATGATTTATTTGCTTGTCTGTTGCCTGTAAATCAAATTGTACAACAAGTCAAGTTACGTCGAAATTATCTTCACACTTTATACTTTTCAGTGTACTTTTACTTTATAAACCACTCATCTTTCCAAAACATCAATCTATTATGTACGCGTCTGCATTTTAATTTGAGCCTCTTTTAAGTTTGTCTAAAGCAGCAAATTGTGAATCTCTCCATTGCTTTCGTTCATTAGTTTTATCCGGAGGTGTGATTTGGCCGAGTTCTTTTTCTACCAGTTCGGCTGTCGGTATATCGTATCTTATTGGTGGCGGTGTAAATGTAGCTGATACATTATAAGCACCCTCAGCATATCTTTTACAATAGTCAACAATACCTGCAAAAGAAATCAGAAAACGAAATTAGTATTTGAACCGACCTGTCATCATCTGAATGATTAGTTGGTTGGATGGTTTGTTGTTTTCTACTTGAAGATGAGACGCACGTTCCACACTAGCCATACCGAAAAGAGCGTAAAGTATTTTAAATTTAAAAGTGGGATATTTGAATGAGGAACTGTATAAGACAATGAATTCGAGATACAGTCTGTTCAAGTCCTGGGTTAAGGTGGTGTAGTGTTTAACACCAGATAGATCAGTGTAGTACTGGTGTAAAGCTTTGCTATAAACTCAACCCGAGACCCCCTCTGTATTTGAAATCAGTCCGAGTTATGGTCTGCGGTGTTGAGGTTGTGTTAAATATGGATATATTTACACACAAATCAATCGTGTTAAGGTCTTTGGTGTCCAAGTAGTGTCGTATCTGTGTTAGCCAAACACTAACTTATATCTGGGTCCCTATGTTTTTCTATACATGTATTTTCAATATCAATTTCCCGATTTAAGTACATTGTAAACAAATTTACATGAAAAAAAAAACAATCAGGCAAAAAATTCTGTGCAATATTATTTCTAATTACATAAAAAAAACTCTTAGATAATAATAACTTGATAAAAGTTATTATCTTGTTAAACATAACTCTAACATTAACCTCTAGGGGTTAAAAAAATCTTAGTTGAAATCATTTATATCAACAGTAGGCGACATAAAGTTTTTTTTCAGTCTTTTAGTTTTAGTTTCCAGGCTTAAAATGCTGTTTTAAGCCATACATGGCCAAAACAGAAAGCCAAGAAAATCTTGATAGCTGACCTACTGATTTACGATAAATTCCAGAGGGGAAATATAATACATAGAGACAACAGATATTCAACATAGATCCCAGTTACTTAACTTCCCGAAAGCGGTTAGAAGTGGTTATTATAGTCAGCCAACTCATGCATTTGGGATTGCAAGGAGTACTTGTAATTTATGTACACATGAAATTGCTGATTTTTTGTTTGATATTTCTGTCAGATTCATAAAATTCCTCAACAAATTGAATTTACCAACCTTAGAGGTCCAATCCATTTAGCCGATGGCAGAAATATTATTTCGGTGTTGTACATTGATAGTATAATTGTTAAAATACAACAGCCATTTTATGCTGGAGATGCTTTTTTTTTTGGTGAATCGTGTAATGCCCTGAATGTTCAATATATTGTGGACCTGAGAGGAGTGGTGAGACACATCTTAAGTGGTAGCCCCGGCACTGCACATGGCAAAACTGCAGCAGAGTGGTCAGCTCATTCTCAAAGTATTTAAACACTATGCCACCTAATAATGTAGTATTGGGAAATGCAGCTTACAGAGGACTTCGGGGCTAATCTACATGTATATGCATCAACCTTACTTGTTAAGGTCTGTATGCAATTAATAATCTTGTAAAGCTTCCAATTGTTAACACTATTGTTATCTTTAAATGCTACACTTTGTTTTTGTCTTCTGTTCTAACGCATTCAATTCTTTGCATGAGCTGGCAAAGTAAAAAAAAAACACCAAAAGAAAGGTAATTGGGGACAAATAACCGATTCCAGGAAGTTAAGTAACTAGGATCTATGTTGAATTTTTGTAGTCTCATTTGATCATTATTCAGTGGACATTTCCTAAAATTTCTCGTAAATTAGCAGGTCTGCGATCAACATTTATTTGTCTTACGTGTTGGCCATATATGGATAAAAAGTCATTTTAAGCCTTAAAACTAAATCTAAAAACCTTAAAAGAATTTCCTTCTTGCCGTCTGCTGTTTTACACCAGCGTTGTAATAAATGACTTGAACAGATATTTTTTTTAACCCCTAGGGGTTAGTGTTAGAGTTATTTTTAACAAGATAATAACTTTTATCAAGTTATTAGTATCTAATAAGTTTTTATGTAATTAAATAGAATATTGCACATATTGAAAATATAGAAAAACTGAGGAGATCAGGTATAAGTTAGTGTTTAGGTAACACAGATACGACACTGGTGTTCATGTTGTGTAAATATATCCATTTTTAACACAACCTCAACACCGCAGACCATAACACAGACTGATTTCAAATACAGAGGGAGTCTGTGGTTGAGTTAGCGCAGCGTTACCCCAGTGCTACACTGATTTAACTGGTGTTAGACACTACCCCAACTTAACCAAGGACTTGAATTGACCCATTGGTGTACACACTAGCGTTAAATTTAGAGGCCCAGGTTAAGGCATAAAAAAACACCCACTACAACACAACCTCAACACAAGCGTAACCCTGGACTTGAATTGACCCATTGTATTAGCATTGTTCTCATGTTATTTGTATCTTACTGCCAAATATTAACACGGTGCAGAGGCTGACATTCTGAGTTGCTGTTCCTAATTCATGTCAAAAGTCCATTCTCGCTAATAATTTGTTAATGGAGTAAGACCAACGTTTTTTGCCAATTAGTTTTGATAGAGCTAATATTTTGAAGCCATGTTAACGTATACATATCAACTTTTCCATTGTACTGTAAAGTCTGAAATAACTAGTAAAATATATCACGGTCATTTTGATATTATAGCTACATGTGTACCCTGGAAGAAAATGGATTTTTAAATTAATACAACTGTTACAATATTGGTTTTGAAATAGATACACGCACATCTCGGACAGGGCATGTGGAAAAAAATATTTCTTAATTACTTACCGTCGGCATTTAAATGCATTGTTTCAAGCGGTCCTATGAAGGCATATCGTCTTCCTAATCCCTCATACATAACTTTGTCAATATCTGCGGCACTTAATACTCCTGACTAAATAAGAAAAAGAGAAATAATCTTAAATTTCACTGGTTAATAAAAGAAAGGGATCAGATATACATTTTGATTAAATGTTGTTGTCGGGTTTCAATATTTGCATGTTAAAATAAGTACAGAATGGTAAGCTAATTTTAGTCTATTTCTGATTTTGCAATAGAAAAACATTGAATACTGTCCCAACAAGTGATAAAATAATGATTAAATGCGTAATATTAAATGTCATGCCAAAAAATAATGATTAAATGCGTAATATTAAATGTCATGCCAAAAAACTCTTTTGTTTCTAAACAATTACAATAGGCTGTATATACCACGCCGAATTTTAAAAGTGGTATGGTATTAGAATCATGATCAACAACGCGGTTTTACATTGACATTTAAAAGTCCAAACCAAAACGTATTTTTTTATTATTTTTACTTTCAGTTCTCTGGTATGTCATAGCCAGTTAACGCTATTATCTATTACATTATTGTGTGATCGTACAAATGACTACGTTATAAGTAACTGTTTATAGCGTGTTGTAATGATATACATTTAACACGGTAATATAAATGATTTGTAAAGTCGATACCCTATCAGTTTCCAAACAATACAAACAGGCTTGATGTTCACATTATCGCAACAACCAGAAAACCAGTTAAATATATCAATGAATAATTCATCGAAAATTTGAAATATTTTTATGGCTTTCAGTTTCTTTTCTTAATGACGCCATCATTGAACCACCATGACGTAGGGCCACGTTTTTCTGAAATTATTGATTTCTCACAAGGTGACACGTGTGAGATTCTTCCATTTCATAATGTATACTTTTATAGGCTATTAACAGGGAACCGATTGACAAGGAAAGTATTTATATAATACAGATACATTACAATATATGGTTTCATGGGCCATTTAAAGGGGTATTATAGGAGATTAGATAAAGAGCTGACAGTTCTCACTATAATAGTTAAAAACTAGATAATGTAAAGGCAATTTGTTGACAATTTCAATCAAATTGATCCATGCATTCTAAAGCGAGATATTAGCTATTGAATTTTAGGCCTATAGCCTCGATCATCATTACTAAAGTAAGTACGATAATAAAACATAGTCTCGATTATCCATTTTTGGATTTAATCATCAATATGGCAGGATAGCGATGACATCGAGAGTTGGTTATGGTCTGGATAAGTTAATTAATGTCTAATTAATAATTTAGTTAACATTTCAGGCCAAAAGAAAGGCCTGCAACAGGCAGATTTAGCTCTTGCATAAAGTATGGTTAAGTAAATTATATATTTATAATAAAATCTCATAATGTATGTTTTTATAATCTATTGTCAGGGGAGCGATTGATTGGGAAAGTATTTATATGATATAAATGCATTAAATTATATGGTTTGATAGAACATTTAAGTATATATGATCCACCGCACGCTTCGCGCCCCACCCCGTTTCCAAAGCAATTAAATTAACCTCACACAAGTTAACTATCATAGCGTATCTCATCCACAATAGCCTGGTGAGCATTGATCTGAAGTTTATATTATTCATACTTGCAACAAGCTCCAACATTCATTAATAACAGCATATTGTATTCTGTTGAGTGCGAACCCCGGAACTTCTTTGTTCAGTGTAATAGGTGATTGACCCACTTCCTCTAATAATGATCTGGTTTGAGCTGTAATCTCTGGGTCTGTCCACGGTGCAGGAATTATTTCTACCAGGGGAAGAAAATAAGGTGGATTAACCTAGAATAATGGATAAATCATGACATCAGGAAAGAACATGACAAATCTAATCAGAATGCCCCCAGTGCATATATATAACGTCGTTATTAGCAATACGCCTTTTAAATTACAGAAGGTTGGTTAAGTATCTTATTCCAAGAAGCTAAACGGCTAAATTGTCTCTTAAGAACTAAATTTGAGCAGCGTGGTTTTTCCTTATGAAACTTGCCCTCGGGTATAGATAAAGAACTATCCTACTTAACAGTTGGCATAAATGAACTTTAAATCCTGTACCAAACTGGAACAGCTTAAAGTGGATTTGTTTTCTAGATTTCTATAATTCTGAGTAAAACAAACTATAGATATAGTACTATTGGCTCTAACTCAAACTCTGTTAATACAAAGTGGCAAATTAGTGTAATACCATGGACCGTGTATAGATGGACAGGCAACGAGTCCCGTTTGTTGGATTCTCTGCCGCTCGCGCGAGACACGGCGAGATCTCAATGTCAACGGCAAATCAAGCGATGTGATTTTTGACATTGCGGGATTTTATACTGATTAATTTCTCGAACTCCTCCTTGGAATTTACGGTATTCTTATAGTTACACGGTAATTTTTCAACCTGATAAGTATTCCTATCCGGTAGTGACGAATTTGTCCAGTTTGAAACTTTGAAATTTCCAAATGCAGCAGTTGAAAATTGTGAAATTATCGATTTCAATATTTTCGTAGGTTTTGTAAGCATTTTGGTTTTGCTTAATACTCCAAATTCCCGTGGTATAATACTGTCCGGAATGATGATTAATTGTGCAGAAGTAAAAATTAAAAGAGTGTTTTAGTAGATTTGTTTTTAAGATTTTTTTTCGGATTCACATATATAGGCGTCCGAAGTAAACAAAGACGATGTGTTGATATATTTACACCCCAATCATCAGCATGGGTTTAAAAAAAAAAGAGTAGCAAGATTAATAAAAATATTATGAATTGATTTCTGTTTCTTTGCTTTTAAACTTAATACAGGTATTTGCGCGAGGGGAGCTAATTTAATTTAGTCACGATTGTCAGGTCTCTCTTTTGCCGCGGCACAGAATTCTAAAGGCTTCGTGGGCGTTGCCTGTCCATCTATACACGGTCCATGGTAATACTACCAAAATAACTGGTCTATCATGGTGTTTGGCGTGCACATGGTGTTTGGCAATGGGGAAGGGGTGGGGGGCTTTAAATGTCGCGTAACGCTGAAAATCGATAGGCTTTAACTTATCGTGACACCTGAACTTCCAGAAAATTTGAAAGAAATATGTAAAAAAAAACGGAACGAAGAGTAGCGGAACGCTGAAAATAAATATGGTTTATCCTCTTATGACCGCAATGCTTCTCATCAAATTTGAAAAACATCAGGTAAAGTCTACAGCTTCTATCGCATTTACAATGTGTTCGGAAAAGGGTGATAAGTCGCGGAACGCTGAAAATGAATAGAATTCATCTTCTTATGACCCCAATGCTTCACACCAAATTTTAAAAGAACATCCGTTAAGGATAGATTGCCAGGCAAAGAAACAGCAGTTGACAAGGGTTGTTTCATATTCATTCTTTTGGGGTATTGGGGGCATTTACAAGACACTAAAAGAAATATCAATTTAATACAAATCAGATTATAATTCTCTTCGTTTGAGCGTTCACAAGGTAACATAAAGTGAAACAAGGGTCATAACACCAGAAATTATAAACAGAAATTGTTGAAATTCCATAGGCTTCTCCGTTTTACTAATCTGAATAATGCATATAAATTTCAGATAGGAAGATAACTTTTGCCATTCGATCGTTCACATCATAAATAAAAAGGTCCTACAAAGTGAGACAAAATCCATAACTCGAGAATATTTGATTCTCTGTTTTATTAATGTACATGTAAACAATGCATATGAATTTCATACAGATAGGTTAATAAATTTTGTCATTCGAGCGTTCAGAAGGTTGTACAACGTGAAAAAAAGGGCCATAACTCCAGAAGTTATTAACGGAAACTGTTGAAATACGATCAGCTACTAATTTAAATAATGCACATAAATTTCGTACAGATTATAATGATAACCTTTGCCGTTAGAGCGTTCACGGGGTTCTATAAATTAAAACAAGTGCCATAACTCTTTAAACTCTTTAACTCAATATCATCTAAAGTCTTCGATATAGAAAATACGAATTATTTGTCAATTTTAAACCAACATTGATGTTGTAATCTTACCGGGAAAAGGTGAGCTTCTGATGTCCAATATTTAAGACAAAATAAACATTTTACCATTGGTACACGAATCGTGTACATATTCCACAATTCATGTCAAACGGTGACGTCATATTCTTATCGGGAGAGCATGCCCAATAAATAATATCGGTGTAGACTGGAATAACCAGACGCTAAAGATTGCCATTCGATTGAGACTTCCGGCGTATTTCGCCGAACATAACTGATTTTAAATTAGAGTAAAACGAAAACGATTGAATGCAAATCAGTTTATGTACATTCATATTACATTATTATATGCATTGCGACCCATTTGTGCCAATTTCTAGGTCCCGAATATTAGCGATTTAGCTCCTTTAACAAATAAATAGGTGTCTTCGTGTCACTAATGTAAGCAATATATACATTTCTAAACAATCGGCTAATAAATGTAGTCTGCAGAGTGTTCACAAGAAATTTTGGACGACGGACAGATGGGCGGACAACCGATGGGCAGGGTAACGACAGCATTCGCCCACACTGAAATGTTGGCGTATAAAAATGAAATGCGTAATACACAAAATAGGTTATGGTGACTATACACATTTTATCTGATAAGAAAACAAAGAATTAGAAACGAACACGTACTTAGCCTATGTGACTGATTAATATCAGATGTCAAGTTTATCTGTTTTAATTTACCAAGTGTTACACCGATATTAATTAAAAGTAAAATGCCTGATATATTACTGTTGCCAACTGTTACAGTAATATTAATTAAAAGTAGAATTTCTGATTTATTACAGTAGCTGTAATCAAAGCAAGGCAGTTGGTATCGTACCTAATTACATGTAATAATAGTGATAAACTCTTTATTAAATGTGGACGCTTCGGAAGGCATTAGTCACCTGGATAAAACGAAAAATGGTCCACGGTATCTACGTCGTCCGGTAGTCCATAATATTTGTCAAGAAATTCACATAAAGTAATATCTACACCAAGATTCTACTTCAATTAAAAGCAGTGTAATTGTGGCCTATAAGGTATAACGGACAGACGGACAGCTGCTTAGTCTAAGTATAAAATGCTCGGCCAGTGAATTTGGTTACTTCAAGCAATCACCTAACGAACGGGGGGGGGGGGGGGGTGGCAGAATGGTTAGAAAGTGCGCGCTGTTTCATAAAGCCTGTCATTGAGTCAACTGACGTGGTTTCGAATCCCCGGTTGTACGTGACAAGGAGTAGGGTCGCCTGTCCAACCTCGTGGGTTTTCTCCGGGTCCTTCGGTTTCCTCCCACTGCTAAAGACCCCTACGCGCAAGCGAATTATTGATATAAAATTAAACCATATGTTAGTCCCGAAATGACCTAGTTTGTGTCGAGTGGACGTTAAACCTCTCTCTCTCTCTCTCTCTCTCTCTCTCTCACCTAATGAACAACTACACCAATTTGAGCATTATATCTCAATTTTGTGTTTCAAAATGTGTGACGGACAGACAGATATAACTGACGAACCCTTTTTTTGAAAGGCGGGGGATAAATTCTACTGACTGTGCTACGCACATTGTGTCGGGCTATATTTTGGAGAGATCATAACACGTATATAAATTACATTTTCTGGGCTTTCTTTGTCAATCTTCCGGTTCAAGAAATTTAAATAATAGATATCAATACCACAATTATGAGATATCATCACAGTACATTTATCATAATAGAACGCCTTTCGCCATATATGTATTCTTCCGGATAAAGTTGAAGACATTATTCGTCTTAATGGATGAGCTCTTGTTCATATACATGCCTTACAGCTTCTTAAAGCCGTTGTTTGTCATTTACATAAGTGTAATGTTTCACGACTATGTTCACGCTAAAATGTACTCAAATTGAGTATTTAATTTTTAACTAAGAAAACAGAATAAAAAAGCGTAAAGAATTGCCGAGTTTTTGAAAACAAATCCTGCAGCAATCTTCGATTAGTTTGTGGAAATCCGGGTAAATTACAAAGACACGCAGTTCAAGGGAAGCAACTACCTTTATTTCAAGGCAATTATAAGGAGCTACCCCCGCAAATCCCCTTTTCCTTTGACTTCAACGTTCTATTTACGTTATATGTTTAGACGTATATCATTCCCAATCCTTTATCACACAAAAGGCCAAATATGTAACACTGCTATAAAGTAGTTGTATTTCAGGTGTTTAAATTAAGGAAGTCAGGTGATATCACCATTTATGACGTCAATTATGACGTATAAGTTTTCTTACAACACGTGTGTCGTTTTCCATTCGATAAATCTGGCATAAAATCCAAATTCAAACTGGTTTCAATTATTGTAGACATTAACGAAAACAAAAGCGGACACGCAAGGGTTTTGCGTGGGTGTGCGTGTTATGCGGAGAGGAGGGGGGGGGGTGTAATTATCTATATTTTTATAGAATTTAAACTGGGGTACACTACCTCCATCATATTCATGCCAAATATATTATCAGGCCTCATTTGATACAAAAAATAAATGCCATAAAAAAGTATGGCTAAATATTCACAACAAAAAACACAACACAAGGTATATATAGATATATTACTTCACTGTTGTCAGTGTTGTGTAATAACGACATTTTGTAACACACCGTGTTACACTAATATTATAAGTAGAATATCTAATATATTACAGTTGCTAATGTAACACTATGTTGACAGATATGTCATTCTCGCGTGTTAAACAATCTCTTTTAGACACAACCAAAAAGAGATAGATGTACCCTTATCTGGATCTCCTGGTGACACGATCCTGTCTAACAGCTTCAAATAAAGATAGGTTGTCAGGCAACGAAAAATACGCTCACAGCAAGGTTTGTCGCAGATTTCTTTCTTTTGTAGATAATTGGGGCATTTATTTACAAGACAATTTCATACAGATCAGATTTAATTTTCGTCGTTTGAGGGTTCACAAGGTTCTACAAACTTGAATAAGGGCCTTAACTCTGGAAGTAATTTACAGAAATTGTTGAAATTTGACCGGATTTTTCATTTTACTAATTCAAATAATGCATATAAATTTCATACAGATTGGATTATAACTTTTGTCATTTGAACGTTCACAAATTCAACAAAGTAAAACAAGGGCCATAAATTTAGAAGTAATCGACAGAAATTGCTGAAATTCAATAGAATTCTTGATTTCGCTAATTTAAAAAACGTTAACGTTCACAAGTTCAACAAAGTAAAACAAGGGCCATAAATTTAGAAGTAATAGACAGAAATTGCTGAAATTCAATAGGGTTCTTGATTTCACTAATTTATATAATGCATATAAATTTCAAACAGATCGGATGATAACTTTCATCATTTGAGCATTCACATGGTTCAACAAGGTTCAACCAGGGTCATAACTCTACAAGTAATTATTTGAAAATGCCGAAATTGAACAGGCTTTTTCGTTTCACTAATTTAAATGATGCGCATAAATTCCATAACTTTTGTCGTTGGAGCGTTCACAAGGTTCAACAAAGTGAAACAAGGGCTATAACTCTAGACGTAATTAACGGAAATTGCTGAAATTCAATAGGCTTCTTCGTGTCACTAATTTAAATGATGCTATTATAAATTCCATACAGATTGGATGATAAATATTGTCGTTAGAGCGTTCACAAAGTTCAACAAAGTGAAACAAGGGCCATAACTCCAGAAGTAATTAACGAAAATTATTGAAATTAAATAGGCTTTTTCAGCAACATATATCAATTTCAAAACAATTAGATGATAAATGTAGTATGTAGAGTGTTCACAGGAAATTGTGGACGACGGACGGACGTACGTACGGACGGGGGCGACAGCAATATACGACCACATTTCCATGTGGGCGTATAAAAATATGTATGTGACACCACGTCACACGGTGGGACAGCAAATCGTATATGGGACATTATCTTGTGTCACAGTAGAACTTCTCGTTGCGTTGTATATATAAATCTTCAAAAACCTCTGTAAATTCAAACTACCTTGTACAATGATATTCTACAACAACGAAATGGCAACTATAAGTATTTAAACGTCAAACCAGTTCAAACCCTGTGATGTCTATCCCGGCCTCTAATGGTACGTCTATCTCTATATAGGAACGCCGTATCATATCTAAAAGAACCTTAATCGCACTCTTTCTTTTAAAGAGGATACGTGCACGAGTCATAGACTAACCCGCGGGAAATTGGCCAGGTACGTCCTTTGCCTGATTGGTTACCTGCACGGAAGCTACCCTGGATTTAAACACTAAGGGGGAGGGGCGGATGAAGGGTGTCCAGTTTTCTAGCATGGGAGACCATTTGGATTACCAGACTATGGGGTCATTGACCGTTTTCAATCTACAAGGTACCTAATTAGTCCAAATCTAGCTGTCACCCATTTGTAGGTAACGGCTTCAATACATTAAGTAGACACAACCAAAAGAGTAGAGCACATGGGTCATTCACTATAATATAGACCTCTCAAGGAACAGGAATCAATTATCAGGTCACCCAACGAAAAAACTGCCCCGAAATCTTAAAAGTGTTACCTGTCCGGATAAGCAGTTTTGACGTTCAAGTCCAAACGGCTCAATATTTTGAGCTGGAATTTTGAGAGACAGTAAATACACCATTCCTCTATATTTTGGCGCTTAAATTTCATACGTACTCCGACTTTTATTCTCTTGAAATCGGGATAGTCCCTTTAAATAACCTCTAGACATATTATATAGTATTACAACTAACTGTTATACTACACTAATATTCATTAAAGGTAATATATCTGATATATTATGGTTGTAACGCGACCATTTTTGAACTGATATTCCTTTCAGAAATTCAAAGTTTACGACAGTGCCGGAACGACCTACAGGCTTGACAGAATGAAACCTAGATCCTGTGTATAATATTTTTTTAATTGTCATAAATCTTTCTTACACGCACTGTTTGTAGTCTTAAACACCCATCATCATCCTTGGGGCATTGCTCAATTGTGTTTAAAACTAACTTTCATCGTCCTCAGGGCCCTTATTCACGAAAACTTAAACTAAGATACAATCGAAATTTTAAGAAATACTGCAATTCGATTGGCTGCCAAATATGCAAATTGGATTTATGCAAATTGATATTACTGGTCAGCCAATCGAATTGCAGTATTTCTTAAAATTTCGATTGTATCTTAGTTTAAGTTTCCGTGAATAAGGGCCCTGGTCGTGAGGGTGGAAAGGAAATGAAATGAAATGGGGATTACCGTCCTCTTGTTCTGCTCCGACAGGGCTAATGAAGACGGTAATACGCCATACAGTGTGCTATGAGGGTAATTTTGCCCAGGCAGCGGCGCTACGGCCTACTCTTATATCGAATTCCAAATCCAATTGTCAAGGGATCTTTTACGACGTGCAAGCCAATGTGTACCGGAACCTCGGTTTTTCGTCCCATCAAAGCGACTAGACAGCTATCCTTGTCAGGCCCTCTGTCCTGCACCACTGACAAGGAAAATCCTGATGAACCTTCTCGGCCAACGCAGGGATCTAACACGGGACCTCCAGGTTAGCCAGCCAACGTCCCTCTCACTTAGCCACCGTCGTGAAGGTGGGGGGTTGGGGAGACCCTTACACTGTTGCTAGGGATTAATAATCCCTCAAATGGCGATCAGACGCTTTAATGAGATCATTAGTAACATGATGATAATGGTGATGGTGGTGATACTTACGGGATGAGCTATTAACATATTAGATCTATGTTTTAGATCTCCAGTAAATTGTGAAGAGTTAATGCAGCTACTAGAACTAGCCATAATCGTCTTCTCTTCGCAATATTCATCCAGTTGTGTAAATACTTTCTTCTTCATCTCAATACTTTCTGGTACACATTCCTAAACAGTTACATACCATTAAATAATTTTGTATACTCTCGTAATTGTTTGTTCGTTATGTTGGTGTGTTTGTGTATGTGTTTCCGTTACCGGGTGGGGGGGGGCGTGGTAGTCTAGCTGTCATGCTACTGGACTCACAGTAGAATATTCGGGGATTTTTTCAAATATAGTAACTGCTGGTCCTAATGGGCATTTTAAACGTCTGATCAAAATAGTACCTGGTCTTCAACAGGGTAATGGTATCATTTGAAAACAATAAGCTACTGCTATCATAACAGAGAAATATATTTGTGATGCAAGAGGACACGGACACTTTATATACAATTTCTTAATTACGAACAAAAAATGTATGGACTAACTACTGTGTCGGGACAATGTGCAGGACAATGTGCCCCCCCCCCCCCTCAGCCCCAGTGAGACTGGTCATCACTGTTCGGACCAGCACCTGCAGCCAGCAATGGGATTCCCAGATTTTAGTTTCTGTTTGATATGTGACATAGTTGATTTTCATTTTCGTTTGCTTTATTACTGTCGTAGTTCACATATCTGCTCTTTAATAGATGATATAAACATGATTTTCGCATTGTCTCTGCCCAAGCAATTCCTAAGGTTGCAAGGTATACAATTGCTTTCGGAATGAGGCCGCGACGAACACTCTGGGGACTACACCAAACCACTAATGCATGCGGCACTCTGATGATTACCCTTTGCTCCAATGTATGCACCCCCCCCCCCCACCTCAACAAAATCCTGGATCCGGGCCAGATGTGGTGTTTGGTGCAATACTACAAGTTAAATGGGCTCTGACGCTCTGAACTAGCAATTTTCCCCAATGGTTATATTATTATAGAAGACAAAATGTCAATTAGTAATTACGAAACACGTGTTCAACAAGTTTTGCCATGTCCAAATTACAAAAATTATAGGCATATTAAACGAACAAAGCCGTGTTATATACATATGCCTACCTGAACATAAATGGCATTTTGTAAACAAGATTTTAGGTCGTTGCTGCCACGTATAAGGCTAGATTGTTGGTGGGCCGATAAATTTCCTCTGAGACAACCCTCCTGTTCATATCTTTCTAGGGTTAATTTTGTATTAGCGAGGGCTCTAGTTACTTGTTCACTGTCAATGTCATATATGGTGACACCATACCCAGATCCTGCAAATATGGTTGCCCAGCTTTGGCCGATTAAACCACTGAAAAATATGCGTTCGAAATGTGAAATGAATGAATTGTTGGTGGTGGTGGTGCGGAGGTGGTGCGGAGGGGGTGTGGAGGGGTGCGGAGGGGGAGGGGTCTAACCAAAACATACTTTTAGGTGTCTTTTATAAAGAAGTTGATATTGATTATTATAAACTGGAATTACATAAATGTTCTTACGTCATTTCCGGGTATTTACTATGTTTACATGTCATCAGACTTCCAAATTGCATAGGTATTTTACTCACACGCAGTAGATATACATAATACTATACCATAATGTGTCGCTCTATCAGTAGTGCAAAACTGGGTAGAGGGGTGGAGAACGTCTAGTAGTTTGGATAGGATATAGAACCTAGGACCAGTATGCACTTTGCATGGCTTCCTTACTCCTTGACAATTCGAATTCGGTCAAGAATTCGCAAAAACATCTATGACCTGGCAAAAAATTCCCTGTATAACACACTGCATGACGTATTTCCGTTAAACCCCATTCCATTTCATTTCCATTCGTTTTCTTGCTTTCTTCCAAAGCATTATTTAACCAGCGGCTGCCAGGCAGGATAAGCCCATATTTTTACGCTATTTGAGAACGAACGGCGGCCATTTTGTCTGTCAGTTTTGGGCCGACTTTCACGAAATTCGAACTCAGCCGCCCTTAGGGTTTAACGGTGATATAATAGTACGGTTTTTTAAATCAGATAAAAAATTATGACCCTCTATAGGGTCCACAAGCTAAAAACGCGATTTTTCGTACAATCAGGGGCCATAATTCATGAAGTTGCGGTCCGATATGCGCGAATATCGAAAGGAACCGAGATCTTTGGGTTATAAGCATACATTTCAAGTTTAAACCAAATCGGATAAAAATTGTGACCTCTACAGTGTTGACACGCTAAAAACGTGATTTTCGTACAATCGGGGGCCATTATCCATGAACTTACAGTCCGATACATGCCAATATCGAAAGGAACCGAGATCTTAGAGTGATAAACCTATATTTCAAGTTTCGTTGAAATCGGATAAAAATTGTGACCTGTAGACTGTTCACAAACAATTGTGGACGGACGGACGGACGGACAGGGGCAACGACAATATACGTCCACATGAAAATGTGGGCGTATAAAAAGATGTTATGGGAAAATTTTCTTTAAATCAATAAAATTTAAATTTAATGTACTTTGGCCTAAACTAAAGTGGGCGTAACTTAACGTCTATGTTCTCCATGCAGACTGTCCGGGCCATTTCATATCCCCTTCATGGTGTATTACATGTATTAATAACAGGCACCAGATTTAACATACCTGCCGACTATTGCTATCTTCCCTTTACCATCTGACTCAGTCATATTGTCTTTAATTTAGTAATGACAGAAGTGCTGACCTAAAAATTTAGTTGTGGGTCTACGGCCAGCAAGGGGTCTATTCTATTGGCCTCTAAACACCTTGAATTTGGAGAGGGTTTTGAGTTTGGCGACAATATATAAGTATTGACAGTATTGTATTGTGACTGATAATCTGTGATGTTTGCCAAATTGCCACAAACAATTAGGTTCTAATTAACAAATTTCATTGAACACTGTACAATAGTTATATATCACCTGAGTCGTATCTTCGCCTATTGTTATTTATGATTTATTGGTTGATACATCCGTTTCATTCGTGTCGATTCGATTCTTTTTTCCCCAGATCATTCGGAGCCATGGTGGCTCATATAGTAAGGCGTTGGTTCACTATCCAAGACCTGCCAGGTTCGATCCTGATGCCCGTCTTCATTACCCCGGTTGGTGCAGAAAAGTGGGACGGTAAACTCCATTTTATTGCATTGTTCACACATCATGGCCTTAGCTTCGAAAGTGGCTTTTTGAGGAACAGAGAGAGAGAGAGGGGTAGGTTATCCAAAAGAATCGACCAATGTTTGTTTATCTGGGGAAAATAAATTTTACAACTATCTACAAAGATATAACGGAATCGTCGACTCCTGTAAATATACTTTCTGACTATCAATGCATCAAATATCATAATATGATTTTGGATTATTTTTAAAGTCACATTTTGATCAAAATGTATTACCAAAAAGTACAAATCCAATTCGTTGTAAATTGAGTTCTTTCCAAATTACTTCGTTTTGTAGAACCTGGAACAAAAATATTGACATACCGTTAACCATCCCCTGAGTTCCCTTGTCTGTTAGCTTAAAAAGTTATCACATAACCTTTTAGTAGAATTGCAACGACCAGGTTATAAACACGAAACGAAATAAAGCAATCGGCATCACACACACAGTCACGGGCAAGCACTTATTAAACTTCGGCATTCTGTCTCTTCGCCGAAGTATGAAGTAGATAGTCTCTGAGTGCAGAATGGGACAGCATGAACTTCAGAAACTGATGTGCATAATCATTGGAATAAAGAAAAATTATATTTGATATTTTTCGTGCACTGAAATTTTAGGATAAAAAGAAAATTGTGAAACTGGTTGAAGATAAATTTTATCTATTTATTTATTATTTCTAATCAGCAATTTTGTAGGTCTAATGCATATCATAATAGCCACTAGGTAAAACAGTTCCCTGCCTATAATAACATGCAATTACAGTTGCAGCCGAATTAGGATTAAGGCTTAAAAATTCGGATAGTCTGGACGATTTAGTGATTTGTATATTTCATGCTTAAAATATCTAGAGTGAGCGACAATTTCTGGGAAAGCCCCTACCGGGATGGGACGTAAGTAAATACTTTATTCATATATTATATAGTGTAAGAGTGACATTGTTGACGTACTTAATTATTACATCTCTGATGTAGAATATAATAAAACATAAAAGTAATTGGACCTGATTATTTTTTTATATTTTTTTTTTTTACTTCCTAATTTTCTGCACCAACCGGGATAAATATATATACACCCGACCTTAATTATCTTAACGGTATTAGCTAAGCACTTCTTTCTCAGCCCAAACTTTTCGTATAAAAAAAAGTTTTTCTTATTTCGTTTCAGGATGATATTCCGGTAACACAAAATTTAACCAATGGTTAATCTGAAAGTTGTGGTAAAGTAGTCTAGCGGTAAAGACGTTGTCAAATGAAAGTAGATGGAGCTGTTGATGGTAAATAACATTTTATTAGATAATTTTACGATATCAACTCACGGTGAAAGAAAATGTTACATTGAGTTGAACAACTTAGTTATATAGTTAGTTTTTAATATTAATTTATTAATCGTCTGTGAGTAATTGTGAAGCAAATACATAGAATACAGATTCTTAGATAGAAGTAGAAGGCGAAAGGGATTTTTTCGATCAAATGATCAGGCGAGAAATGAAACATTTTTTTTTAATTTGATCGAATTGTCTGGTCTTATAATATTAGCAGAACGTAAATTGCAGTAGAATAAACTATGTGTTGATATTGCATTAATAATTTATGTGCATAGTTAGGCCTATTGCACAAATTACGGCTCTATTTCAGTATCGCACCTCTACCAGTTCCCATGATCATAGAGACTTGAAATTTTCAGGGGGTATTCATGGGACCTAGCCATGACCTCACACCAAATTTCAGCCGAATCTGTCAATAACTTTTTATTTTACTGTAGTTTAGCTTATACGAGAGAAAGTTTATCCGATTTTGACGCCATTTTGTTTGTTGGCTATTTAGACTCGAATAACAAGACAGGGTTAGGGTTAGGGCTAGTCCTGTCTACATCTTGAGACTATGACGAAATCTACAGGTCCTAGCCCTTACCCTAACCCTTATCCTAACCCACAATCCACATATGACGTCATTCGAGCCTAAATAGTCAACAAACAAAATGGCTTCAAAATCGGATAAACTTATCTCTTATATAGAAGCTAAACTAAGGTAAAATAAAAAGTTATTGACCGATTCGGCTGAAATTTGTTGTGAGGTCATTGCTGAACATCCCCTGAAAATTTCAAGTCTTTACGACCCCGGGAACTGGTAGAGGTAGCGTTATAAGTTATTGCACAAATTACAACTGTGGTGCAGTCTTCATTAACCCGGTTGGTGAAGAAACCACAGGAATCTGACCTTGTAATTGTATATTAATATATAGTATATGCATGCAACATACTCAACTAGACAATATATAATAACAAAGAACAGGAATGCAATGCCAGTTGAAGCCTTGATTTTACCTGCTCTCACTTCGGCTCGTTTTTTTTCAACAATTCGTAATGTCAGGCAATCAAACCTCTGTCGATTCACTCAGATATGTTTTTTCTTCAATCTGGCCGTTTTTATTTGCATAAATACTCCCTACAAAACGATATCATAGCCACTTGTTTCCAATATTTACATTATTTTCGTTCGTTAACGTTTGTCATCGACTCTATCAAAGCATGGAAACTGTCATTAGGACTGTCAATGGTCCTGTCACATTGTTATGACAGTAAAACTTATCAGATCTCTAAGTGTTTATTAAGCCATTGCCGTGTTGAAATAGTTATAAAACTTACATGTGTTCACATTGAATTAATCAGTTTCCACTTTAAGAACGGGGGATACATGTAAGCAAGTATGCAGTTTTGACCACATGACACATTCGTGCAAAAACCAATTCAGAATTCTATCACTGATATTTTGCATGCTTATACACTTGGGTTTTAATTACACATAATTTCCAATTTTTGTCGCAAATTGTGAAGTTTTACCAAGGGAAAGACAACATCCCCTATCAAGCAAAAGTATCTGAGTTCACACGTTAGCTGGTACAACTTTTATTTTGCTTCTGTCCAACACCTTAATCTACATTTTATCCAACATAACTGTGTAAGGGCAGAACATGTTCACACTGAGATTTTCTGTCGATACAACTCATTGTGAACAGGACATTAGACAAGACTGTAACAAACACCAAACAAAAATTCTGCAGGTAATGTGTGATGGATCAAAATGATATTGGGCTATTTTAAAGGTTAACTCACCCATATGTACCTCTGGCGGTCTCATTTATTTTGGATCCTTTCCTACTTGCAAAGACATTTAACCTGCATATATTTTTAAAGTGGATTCTTTTATAGTTATGTCATACCATAGCATTTGCTCAATTAAAGTTTAGAAAATGAAATGGGGTTTACCATCCTGCCATTTTGTACCACCTGGGCTAATGAAGATGGGCATTTGTTATGCAGTGCACTAGGAAAAAATTTTGCCCTGACAGCAACTTTAATATCTGCTCATCATTGAATTCCAACTCTCAAGGGTTCTTTTACGTACATGAAAATGTATACACAGGAGTCAGGACCTGCTTTTTTATCCCATCCAAAGGACTAGACACTATTCCTTGCCCGGCCCTCCATCTTATACCATTGTCAACACCCGAAAAGTCAGATGACTATTAAGTTTTCATTGTGTGCTGTGTCTTGCTCTGCATCTTCAAGCCGTCAAATTGACTGTATAAATGTTATGTAAATATTAACTGATCAGTTGCAAGTAATGACTACAAATCCACTGACCTTATAAGTAAGCACATAAACAAAGTCTATTTTTATCTGGTTCCAATGCCAAGTGCATCTGTCTGTACAGATTAACAAGAGTCCCATACGGAACAGAGCGTACTGTGCATCATTGCTATTTGACTACACCATATTGCTGAATGCTAACAAATTATATTAATACAGCAAAATTGGTTAAAATTTGAAATCTTGACCCTAGTAACTTCACTTCCATTCTTTTTTTTCAGTTAATACCATGGTCTGAAGAAGACATCAAAGATGAATAGAATGACAGTTGAAGATAGTGGGATATCCCCTGAACCCATCCCAGCTCCAACTCGACCGCTACCAAGATCTTACAGAACTTATGTCGACCAACAACGCAGATGTCTTTCCATGAAATGCTCAAAGCAGGATGGGTGTAGATTATGGCGTCAAATGGTTCTTGGTTTTATAACCACGGCCTGTGTTGGACTCATTTTATTATTTTTAGGCTCAATATTTATAGCTGATGCTATTAAAGAAAACAATTCCATGGCCGTTATGCTGTGTGTTATGGGAATAGGTAATGCATAAATCATTGAAGAATGGGGTTTAATGGGAGGAACACAATACTTTGGCCATTTTGAGAATAAATGTTATAATTTTTATACGCCAATGAGTAACATCTTTGAGGAAAATGTAGGCTACAGTTGGGATATTACCATGGCAAAGAAAGTTGCTGTAAATATATTAAATAACTGTTCATTTTATGGTCTAGGATGAAAAAAGTGTATTTTATAATAAATGTTTGCATATATAAAATTTATAATTTCAGTATGTGGAGGTATTATTATAATGGCTACTATTATATTAGGTAAAATGTGCAAGTTGTGTATATCCAGTAAATCAAGAAATGAAGATGAGGCTCCATTTCCACAACAACAAGGAGCTTGTTTCCATACTTGTTCAGGTAATAATATATTTAGTGCCATTTTTCAGAATTGTGCATTATTATGTGTCACTGTCGTAATGGCCAATTCATATTAATTATAATGTCATTAAGAAACTATTTTCAACAGGATGGAAATTTAAAGATTACCCTACCACTGGTTTGTTATACTGTTTGTCTTTTTTATATGACCACATTTCAATTGTCGTCTTTCCATCCGTCGGTCCGGCATCCACAATTGCTTGTTGACGCTCTAGAGGCTAAATTAAGGTCATGAGACGAAGAAGCCCATTGATTTTCAACGATATCTGATAATTACTGCCAGAGTTATGGCCCGTGATCACTTTGAAATATTTTGTGGACACTCTAGAGGCTAAAGTTAATATCTGATTGACTTTAGATTTAAACACAGTTTTTAAGGTCATGAGACGAATAAGACTATTGATTTTCAACAATTTCCGATAATTACTGCCAGAGGTATGGCCCTTGATCACTTTGAAAAATCTTGTGGATGCTCTAGAGGCTAAATTTAATATCCGATTGACAGTGTTTAAGGTCGTGAGACAAATAAGCCCAGTGATTTTCAATGATAATTACTACCAGAGTTATGGCCCTTGATCACTTTGAAAACTCTTGTGGACGCTCTAGAGACAAAAGTTATCATCCATTTGACTTTGATTTATACACAGAGTTTAAGGTCTTGAGACGAACAAGTATAATGATTTTGAATGAATTTTGATAACTTGAACAGCTTAATCCATGATATTAAATCTTTCGTATGCAGAACTAAAAGCCAAACAAATTCTAATGATTTTCTGATAATTACTTAATGAGTTGTTACTCTTAATCAGATAATAGTGTATTATAAATGTTTCATTACTGACAACAGAAAAAATATGCGACAACTCTTGTTGACTGCTTGGACGACTTAGCTGCTGTGGGCGTATGTTTCTATGTAATTTTTAATGTCTAGTTTTCACTTTGGACAGTGAACTCCTGTGCTGCAGACAATGAAATTGTTCCTAGTACTTTGGATGGTACCTAAAGCCATGGTCCTCCCCATGTACACATTGCTGAGCATATAAAAGACCCATGATACATGTAGTTGGAAATCGAATAAGAGTCAGCAGAAATGCTGCTGTTTGGCCAATATTCTCCTCGGTCGCATTGCATTTGTAAGCAAAGAAATAAAAATGACCATAAACACATCTAAAAAAGAAGAAAGTGTTGTGTTGACGAGACGTTTTATATTCAATATTAGTCATGTTTAGTTTAGATTCACCCTTTATCGAAGGTTCATACCGCAATATTTCAGTCCAATTAATATTGTATTATTTGAATGGCTTTTTTTTTCCAAATTATTGATCAATAACGATATATTTTACATTCAACAGTTATATACACAAGATCTACTGACCAGATACCAGGTGTCGGAGTAGGAGAACTTCCACCATCATATGAATCTGTAGTACATAATACACAAGTACGCACCAACACTGGTACAGATATAAATCTACAAGTACTGAATTCCAGCACCACTGCTGAAAGTCATTCACACACAATCATGGTTTTACCGCCAAAATATGATGATGTTGTCGCACCCTTGCCACCATATAAAGATATTCCAGATCTCTCAGAATGATCATTTTGGTAACAATGACACTATTCTTTACTAATTAACTCACCACCATTTTTGTACCAAGGTTCATGGTTCACTAAGAGTCATTTTTATCAGGCCTTGTCAGGTTGGCAATAATGTTGTCAGGATTATAATGTATATCTCTTATTGTGAAGAATTTTAATACCTTGCCAGTTCAGATTGTGCAGTTTTCAGACTACATATTTCTAATTTGTCAAGGCTTAAAGGACAATATTGGTGCCAGTCATTATCACATATGTGATAGAGCTGGTTAAACACATTCCAAATATAATTTTAACACAGAGATCATTGCTACGATAGCTGAGTAATACAGTTTTCCAGAATCGGAAGTGACGAACGCCAAAGGAAAACACAAGCCATCTCTCTATATAACTGACTGATGTGACGAGTGATAACGGATATACGGGCGAATTTCTGCTCACTAATAATTCATTTGAAGACCAAAAGTTGTTGTATGAGATTGTGAGAGGATATCTCACAATTCATAAAAAGAATTGACTGTCACTAGATAAGTGAACACGAAAGAAAAACAGAAAAAGTCTGTGCATTACCATGTTTTTATAAGATATAGAATGAATATAAACAAGGGAATGTACGGACTATTTCTATTTTTCTCGTGTACTCCTATCTAATGACATTCAATTACTTTATTGAATTGTCGGGTATCCTCTTACAGTCCCATATATCAACTTTTGGTCTTCGAAGGAATTATTAGTGAGCAGAAATTCGGCCGTATACCCGTTATCACTAGTCACATCAGTCAGTTATATAGAGATATGACTTGTGTTTTCCTTTGGCATTCGTCACTTCCGACTCAGGAAACCTGTATTACTCAGCTATCGTAGCAATGATCTCTGTGTTAAAATTATATTTGGAATGTGTTTAACCAGCTCTATCACATATGTGATAATGACTGGCACCAATATTGTCCTTTAATCCAAGTTATAATGTACTCAAATTAATTATTTTACAATGGCAGATTGGTTTGGATTCAATCAGATTAAGAATGCCTCATCAATAGTTTTTACCTTACACTTTTACATGATGCTGGCAGTTTTATAACATTTACAGATGATGACAAAAGTTGACAAATTTTCAATTTATCATATCTTTGTAAAAATAAAAGGACTTGAACTATTTTCCATTTAGAGATTCATCTTTCACATTGTTGTAGCTTTCAAGAGATTCAAAATCTCTAACATAGTGATCAGCAGCTTTAATTGTAAAACACCATAAATACCCTTGAATTTGTATATTTTCTTTACAAAAATACATACAAATTAGGTTATTATAGCCACACAAAGAAATATTCTTGTTCTGAGATACAATTGCATCATCAAAAAAAGTCTTTATTATATGTTTTTATTTTAAAAAAATAAAATAAAATAAAGTCAATAATTTCTGCTCAATCATGTTTCTCGTGATCAAGGGAGGTAACTCTATTAAAGGTCTCTTGAAACAGGAAATGAACACGAGACTCGGATATCAAGTACGTAACCATGGGAAACACTATCGACAATTACGACCGGCACTTGATAATTGAATATTAATTTATCATTTGTGGTTTTTTTACTCTCAAAATGCCTTACCTTTCCCGAGTAATATGATTGTGAGTGGGATGACCAAAAACATTTTTCGCAGGTAGATTGACAGTGCAGATTTCGATTTATTCGCTGGCAAAGTCCATGCTTTAACAGTGAATACGGTATCAAAGCATGTAGATCTTGGTCGCCAGAATAAAAACCGGTGGATTTAAAAACATTTGCCCAGGAGTTAATGTAGATAGATGAAGTCAACGATTTATTCGGACATTATTTCAAATTCTGAGTTATTTTTTGGTTTTCTTATTAATCGTTTAATAAATATTAGATTAAACATGCATTATGCAAGAGCAAAATCTGCTTATTACAAGTCTTTCTTTAGGCCTGAAATGTTATCTAAATTATCAATAAGACATTAATTAACTTATCCAGACCATAATAAACTCTCGATGTCAAGGCTAGCCTTCGATCTTGGCTGGATTAGATTCCTATATGTCGCTTACGGCCGTTGATAATTAAATCAATAAAAGTGGATAATCGAGACTAAGCTGTTTATAATAATGATTTTAGTAATGATGACCGAGACTATGCCAAAATTTCACCCGCTTCTTTCTCGGCTCATAGTGGATCAATTTGACTGAAATTTTCAGCAAATTACCTTTACACTATCTAGTTTTTAACTATTATAGCGAGAACTGCCATATCGTTATCTTATCTCCCATAATGTATCTTTAATAATAATTTTGTGTGTTTCTTAAAAATGAAAAACGAGCTAGATTTTGATAACATAAAACAAAAACCGCCATCTGGTATCAATTTTTCAAAAGGATTGTCTGAGAACCAGACTATTTTTTTGTGTGGCCTAATTTCAACTCCTGCTAATAATTGTCATTTTACATGGACAGTCCTAGTTCTTTATATTTTTTTCTGACAAGGTATGATGGCCTTGTTGCACTCTTGCCAGCATTAACATACCAGTATCCATGACTCGTCAGACAAAAGTTTTTGGCATTAGTACTAGTAGTTTTATTTTTTCCTAATTGAGCAGAATATGATTTTTAAAAGAGACTATTTATGGAATATTTATAAGCAAATTAATATAGACTGCCGCCTGTTCCAAATATCTTCATTATCTGTGTCTGTTGCATGTCAATGGATTTTTGTAGTTATGATAATTTTTTTATCGTTGGCATATATGTAAATGCATGGATTAGAATGTTAATCACTTCTTATATACATATACTATACTATTTTTCTCATGGAGTGTAAACAAGTCTTCTAGTGCAGAGCAGACTTCAGTTTGAATTGTTGCATTACATAAATGCAAGAATTATTGTTGTTATTATTATTATTACTAGCCCCGGTACCAAAACATCTTTATGCGCATACATGTATAGTACTACATGTAGTAGGCCTATTAGTTGAGATTATAAAATGGCTTGTTTATTAGTACAAATGTAAATAATATTATTTTATTGTGAGATAACCAATTTATTCCATTGTATATATATTGTATTTATTAACATTTTTTGCTGTGTAATTATGTGTATCATTAATTGTGCTATACTATTCAGTTGCCCTTCTATATTACAGTTATCTCCCTTTGATAATCAAAAGCATTTGGTATACGACTTGACATTGTGCTTTACAACTAAAGTGTTAATGCATGTATACAGGACTCAATTTGCTCAGTAGAATTGTCTCTGTTTTTATAATTGTATTGTTCGGGGTTTTTAGCACAGGGTTTCATTCTTCAACAGAGCATGCACAGAGAGAAATAAATGACATGGCATTTTTACTCAGCCTTTTTGTGTAAACTGGCCCCAATCTAAAATTTGATGCATGGAGAAAGTACAATTTTAGTTAGTTCACAAAAGCATGTCATGTGTTTTTGTTAAAATCCAAATTTCATGCATCTATGAATTCGGTTAATAATGCAGCCTGGTGACATCATCATTTTTAGTATTCTTTACAGAATAATTTTATTTTTTAAAGTGTGCAGGGGTAGATCATGGAGAAACAAGAATCCTATCACTAGCTGGTAAACTAATATTTCAGAAGTTTTGCAATAAAACATTACACCGAGATCAATGTGGAATAAAAAAGTCAAAAACTTTTCTAATTCCTTATCCAACTCACAGGGGCATCACTCTTCAGATTTTCTTTATCTACCCCTTTATGATTATTTTTATTTTGTTTGCATTTATTTGAATGGTGTAAAAAGGGGGATAAATCTTGTGTGTTTAACCTTGCTACATATCTGAATTTGATCTGTTTTATTTGTATTTTTGTTGTGGCTGTGCGTGATAATTTGCTGCCAATATTGTTTTGCTTTTAGTATGTTGATTTTCTTGTAAACATTTCAAAATTGTTTGTTATTTATTTATAATCGGAATGTCTTTTATTTATTATTATATTACTTATATCAAGCTAATGCATTTTTCCTTAGTTTAATAATATGGAATATGTCAATGATTACTAGTAATATATTGTTCTAATTAATTGTTTTGATTATGTTTATATAGTACCGTATATAAACAGTAAATATGAAATTACTACAATCTGCCTGAAAATCAGTAATTATGAAATGACTAAAATCTGACTAAATATCAGTAATTATAAAATCACGACAATCTACCTAATATCAGTCATTATAAAATTATTACAATTTGACTAAATATCGGTTATTATGAAATTGCCACAATCGGCCTAATATCAGTAATTATGAAATTACTACAATTTCTCTAATAATCAGTTATTATGAAATTATTACAATCTGACTAAATATCAGTTAGTATGAAAATACTATAGCCTGACTAAATGTCAATAACTGTAATATTTTATTTACAGGTATGAAGTTACTACAGTCTGACTAAATATAAGTACTTGTAATTTCATACTTACTGGGGTACTACCAGTAAATATATTACTACAGTCTGATTAAATATCAGTTATTATGATATTATTAGATTTAGACTAAATATCAGTTATTATGATATTACTACAATAGAACTAAATATCAGTACCCCGGTACCGGTAATTATATACTACGATAAGACTAAATATTAGTTAGTATGACTAAATATCAGTACCCTGCTACCGGTAATTATAATATTACTACAATAAGACTAAATATTAGTTGGTATGATATTACTAGAATCTAACTAAATATCAGTACCCCTGTACCGGTAATTATGGTATTACTAAAATCTAACTATTATCAATTATTATGAAATTACTACAATCTAACTAAACATCAGTAATTCATATGAATTTCAATAATCATTTACATGATTACAACTGCAGTTTGATGTAAATAAAGTTATTACTTTTCAAATTCCCAAAAGTGATAGAAAAATTCATATTTGAACAAATTTTATTATTGATTTCAAGACAGCAATAAGACCACATCTCCCTGTACCAAATGCTTATCACACCTTAAGACAGCTTGATATATTTACAGGAATTGGGCCCAGATTCATGGTCCATTTTCCTATTTGCCAAAGGGTTTCATGTTTGCTAAATGCACCTTATGTGTAGGCCTAATATAGATGTATCGTGTTACTTGATTTGTGCATAGCTTATGTGTAGTGTAGATGTGTTATTTGATATGCCCATATCTAATACTAAAGGTTGTAACTGGAGCATCATGTTTTTATATGCCCACATGGAAATGTGATCGTAAATTGCCATCGCTTCCATCTGTCATCCACAATTTCTTATGAACACTCTACAGGCTACATTTATTATCTGATCAGTTTGAAATTTATATATATTGTTTACATTAGTGCCTATTAATTTCAACAATTTCCGTTAATTACTTCTAGAGTTATGGTCCTTGTTTCACTTTGTTGAACCTTATGAACGCTCTAACAACTAATGTTATCATCTGATTTGTATGAAA